TGAATGCGAGATTTAACATCCACCAGTCCATGACCTCCCTCGCACACTAGTAAAAAAATTACTGATGCCCGGACCCAGTGTTCACCACTCCAGAAAAAATTTACCAGCTTCCTTTGTATTTCACATATAATATCCTCTGGTGGATCCAAAACTATACATCTGTGCCACAGTGTAGAGGCTTCCAGATTATTGGCGACCAAAACTCTCCCCCTATATGACAACCGGTTCCCATTTAGACAATCGGGCAGATACCTTGTCCAGCACACCCTCCCAATTCTTCATTCGATATTTATCACTACCTATAAAACTCCTAAAACTTTAAACCCGTCCTTACCCCATTTCAAACCTCCTGGTAACTTTGGATATCCCACCTCATTCCACTGACCCATAATATACCCCTCACTTTTCTCCCAATTTACTTCGGCTGAAGATGCTTTTTCATAAATCCTAATGTTCTTGTTTAAACTTCTGATGTCCTCCTGCCCTGTGATAAATACTGTGATATCGTCTGCATAAGCAGATAAGACCTGTTTTACATTTTTACCTCCATTTTTAAATACAACACCATTTAAATCTTTCCTAAGTTTGAGCAAAAGAGGTTCAATCATTAGACTATATAGCTGTCCAGACAATGAACATCCTTGTTTGATTCTTTTTCCAAGTGGTACTTGAGCACCCAAAGCCCCACCAGCCTTTATTGCCATTATAAATACATTTGAATACAACAGTTTTATATATGATAAAAATTCTTCATTAAACCCAATTTTTTTAAAACATTAAAAAGATAACCATGGTCCAGTCTGTCGACAGCTTTTTCTTGATCTAATGATAAAACACCAAGATCCTTACTTGTAAGATAACTAAAATCAACTACATCTAAAATAAAAATATTTTCAATAATTGACCTATCTGGGACACAATATGTTTGATCATTCTCAATCAGGAATTGTAAACAATGCATAATTATATTTGCTAGACATTTTGACTAAATTTTATAGTCATATAAACATAATAAAGACACAGGTGTCCAGTTTTTCAATGAACATAAATCCCCTTTTTTGGTAACAATGAGAGAACTGCACGTTGACAACTCAAAGGAAGCAACTTTTCTTTAAAACAGCTTAAAAATACTTCATATACATCCATTCCGATTACATTCCAAAATTGTCGATAAAATTTAACTGGCAGTCCATCTATTCCCGGAGACCGTTCATTAGACAATTGCTGCATTGCCTCAGTTAGTTCCTTAAAAGTAATATCACTGTCCAACAACTTTTTTTTGTTCATTTGGTAGTTTTGGCAAATTCTCGAGTAATTCTTCCGCACTTTTGATGTCACATGAATCCCTATTATATAATGTTCTATAAAAATCAACAGCCATCTTTTGTATATCCACTGGATCAGAAGTGATAGTCCTATTTTCCCGGCGCAGATGATGTATCTGTTTCTGTTGTGCACTTTTTTTTCTAAATTAAAAAAAGGAAGAACTGGGAGCGTCCATATATTTAATGGAACAAAATTTTGTTCTTATAAATGCACCTTTTGCCCATTTATGCAAGGAAGATCTAAGTTCTGCTTTCTTCTTTCTGCACATTTCCAGGATTATCCATAAGTTCTTTTTCAAGCTGCACAATGTCTTTTTCCAGTTTTTGTATTGTTGTTTTAATTTGTAAAGAAGAGTATAAAGTATAGTTCTGGCAAAAAACTAATATCTGTGCCTTACCCACCTCCCACCATTGACTAAGGCTTACAAAAGAATCCTTTTTCATTTTCCATTCATTCCAAAATAATATAAATCTCTCACAAAACAAAACATCTTGTAATAATTTTGTATTAAAATGCCAATAATATGCACATCTTGACATGTTTTTCATATTAAGTTCTAAACCAATCATATGATCATCCAAAAAAGCAGTAAGTGAAATGAATGCCTTTATAACCCTGTTGTTCCATATTTGTCCCACATAAAAACGATCCAATCTTGCACCATAGACCACATTATCAGTCACTTTAACCCATGTATACTGTCTTTCCTCCTTATTTCTTAATCTCCATATGTCTACTAACCCATTTTTCTTCATTATTCTGGATAAAACTAAACTAGATTGATTATGAGGTTCTTCGCCATTTCTTACAGTAGTAGTTATATACACTTGGGAAAATGGAACATATTTTTTAACTATATATATATAAAGTTATAGTCATTAATAAAATAAATAAAGTTATACATATTAATAAAACTTATGCAATCTGCACCCTCGAAATGAAAGTACAAAGACTGCCACCTGGTGGTGCAAAGAGAAAACTTATTGATATAAACTTTTTAGATTTTTAGGTCCTTTACAACACACGCAGCGATCTCATATCAGTTTATCCAGACATTCTAATCTGATTTGCGAACTTGTTTGAAGAACCAAATTAGCGAGAGATCAGTTATCAAGATTAAAAGATCCAGGATCTGTCAAATCATCTTAGATCATTTAAGCAAGGTACGAAGAACGGACCCCTGGTTAGGTTTAGGGTTAGAGCTAGGTTTAAGGTTAGGGTTAGGGTTAGAGTAAATATCTGCAACATCTGCACCTGTATGAACACTCATGGAGAGACACATTCACAACCCTGCCTACTGCAGTGCAGGGGTGTTGGAGTGTTCAAAAACATTATATCATAACCCCCCAACACCAACAAATTACAAAAAATGTTTTAGTTTGAAGTATACAGTGGCCCAGGGGCGTTGCTAGGGTTGAAAGGGATAAGGGGCTTAACCCCCCAACACCCCCCCCCCCCATTAAAAAAATAATGTTCTAATTCACCCCGCACCCCATTCAAAAGGTAATCTACTTTTATAATAGTTTTATAAATGTTTTAATAATAAATAGGGCTTTTGAGTTGAGTTTTAGCAATAAATTTTGAAGCTTTGTGACTTGTAACACCAAAAAGGAAAAATAAAAACATTAATTAATTATCCCACTTCTCATTTACTAGTCTGTTGTGAGCCATATCATACCTCTTGAGCCTTCTATCTCCTCTCCTGATTTGCAGTTTCTGTTTGTTTTTTGAAAATGTAATTGTCTGCATGTCTTCAAATCTAAAAAATATGATTTATTTTATATTGTGAGTTGTTATCCAATGTGATACAAAGCTACAAACAAATTAACTAAGGTGTAGTGTTGTCAAGATACTGGAATTTCTAAATTCAATACCTTGCAAAATATTGATATTCAATAGGCTACTATTTTTGACAGTAAAAATATTATTAAAAATAGTACAAAAATAAAAATAAAGATTTATATGCTAGAAATATGTTTACTTCAAATTTCTTTTGACGTAGATTTTTTCAGTTTTCCTCAAAATAAGGTAATGTGGGCATTGTAGCACTTTAAATGCAAGTAATGCCTGTTTCATTCATTCATTGAGCAGAAATTCCAGATATGCCTCACAAAAGTAGTAGAACAGTCCAGGAAATCCTTAATATGGATAAAGGCATCCAGCTATTGCTGTAGTTGAATGAACATAAGATCTGAATAAACATAAAAAGGCTTTAACTAATCATTTACATGACTGCGATAATAAATGTTTATACAGTTGAAGTCAGAATTTTTTTTTTTTTAATATTTCCCAAATTATGTTTAACAGAGTAAGCAAATTTCCACAGTATGTCTGATAATATTTTTTCTTTTGAAGAAATTCTTATTCGTTTTATTTCAGCTAGAATAAAAGCAGTATTACATTTAAAAAAAAAAAAAATAACCTTTTAGGGTCAAAATTATTAGCCCCTTTAAGCAAAATTTTTTTTCTGATAATCTACAGAACAAACCATCGTTATACAATAACTTGCCTAATTACCCTAACCTGCCTTTAAAGCCTTGAAATGTCACTTTAAGCTGTATAGAAGTGAAAAATGTCTAGGCATATATTATTTACTGTCATCATGGCAAAGATAAAACAAATCAGTAATCAGAGATGAGCTATTAAAACTATTATGTTTAGACATTTGTTGAAACAATCTTCTCTCCGTTAAACAGAAATTAGGGGAAAAAAATGAACAGGGGGCTAATAATTCAACTGGGGCTAATCAGACTTCATGTCTTCATGTATGTCTTCTTCCAGCCATCTCAGGTAATTTCATAAGAAAGTCGATTTATAATCCCCTGCTAATTGACATAGCATGTTAAAGTAGAATGTAGCTATACAATATGCTAGATGCATGAGCTCAATGTGATTTAGCTATTACAGAAACAAATGTGACTGGCTATATCATATCTAGATAAATATGCCTAGATATCTATATCATATCTAGAAAGCTAGAACAATTTACGTTTTTCTGTCTAATTTGCATGTATGCATTGATATGATGCACATTTTATCGATTACAGTTATTTTATTTCACCAAAACTACACACATTTTATACTGTGGAAACAAATGTTAAGCTTCACTTCACTAGTAGTTAGAACTATTCAGTTTCGCGAAAGAGTTGTATTATTACCTCATCAACTTAAGCTCTTTAAAATAATGAATAAATGAAGTGCAGTGGCGGAATTTTTTTAAACATCATGTGACAACAGTGCCACTCCCACCTGCCGGTAGATACAGGTACTGCTGAACAGCTGACCCGACACAAACACTGCGTGAGGTGGAATGTGCGTGATGTACGCCGTAATTTTCAGTACTTAGATAACAAATTAAATGTTATACACCATTATATATACTTATATATTATTTATTATATATACTTATATTTTTATTTAAGTGCAACATATTGCAAAAGATCAGGGGCTTTTGACAATACATCAGGGGCTTAAGCCCCCAAAGCCCCCCCTCGCAACGCCACTGCAGTGGCCTTAAGGGGTGACTGGGCGAGAAAGGGTTGGAAGGTGAATGTAATAATATTAGAGGTGGTAGGCATATTTTGTTGGTTGTGAATGGTATCAAAACATTCATTTTTAAATTCTTTCACATCAAATATAGTAAAATGCATTTTCTTTATCAAACTCTCTCAAAGATAACCTGATTCTGGTGAATGATAATCTGACATGGACTGAAGCTGTGAGTTACTGCAGAAAGAACCATGTGGATCTGATCTCCATTCACAGCGAGAAGCTTCAGAACAGGGCAGCGAGAAAAGCAATCCAGGCCTCCTCTTCACATGTGTGGATAGGTCTCCGTTACACCTGCAACTTCAGCTTTTGGTTCTGGATAAACAATAGAGAAGCAGGCTGCTACCAGAACTGGGTATCTGGTCATGGGCCACATGGTTTTGTGGAATGTGGGCTGTCAGGAGCTATGGAGTCCAATGGGTGGCACCGATGGATTGGTAGGCCTGAGAGTGACAGGCTCAATTTCATCTGCCACACTTATACAGGCTGACAATTAGTGAGGCATTTTATCCATAAAGCATGATGGAAGGCTGTGGAGAATCTGCTTTCTATGCACTGTTATTTGACTATAAACAATTCATTTGATAGATATTGTAAGAATTACAGGGACATAAATATATGGCTGTTAATAATAATAGAATAAAAATAGAATAGTGATGGGTCGTTCATGAACGATTCGTTCATTTTGAATGAATCTTCAATATGACTCGGGAACCACGAGTCCTCTCTCAGGGAGTGATTCATTCATCCGTGCGTGCGCACATTTGTGCAGGTAGTATCGTTAATTTCAAGTCATCACATTGGCAAAAACCAATCATATGCATTTAGAGCTGGAAAAAGAATTGATCCGCTCACCTCTCGAGTCCTCTATCGGGTCTGAGTCACTCGTTCATCACGGGCCAATCATATGCGTTTAGAGCCGGAAAAAGAATTTATCCGCTCACCTCTCGAGTCCTCTGTCGGGTCTGAGTCACTCGTTCATCACGGGCCAATCATATGCGTTTAGAGCCAGAAAAAGTTTTGATCCGTTCATCTCTCGAGTCCTCTGTCGGGTCTAAATCACACATTCATCACGGGCCAATCATGCACGTTTAGAGACGGAAAAATAATTGAACCGTTCATCTCTCGAGTCCTCTGTCGGGTCTGAGTGACTCGTTCATCACGGGCCAATCATATGCGTTTAGAGCCAGAAAAAGTTTTGATCCGTTCATCTCTCGAGTCCTCTGTCGGGTCTAAATCACACATTCATCACGGGCCAATCATGCACGTTTAGAGACGGAAAAATAATTGAACCGTTCATCTCTCGAGTCCTCTGTCGGGTCTGAGTGACTCGTTCATCACGGGCCAATCATACGCGTTTAGAGCCGGAAAAAAGAATAGAACCGTTTATCTCTCGAGTCCTCGGGTTTAAGTAATTTTGTTACGCGATGAACAAACGATCATGGCTCCTATCGACTTAGACTGTGCATTGATTTAGATTATATGTGACTGTCAGTGTAACGTGAATGAACCCCTGACATTTGAAGACATGATGAGGCGAGCTTAGCAAAGAGACAAAAATGCTTTCATAGACGAAAGAGCTGGTAAACATTGAATTATTTTATTTATGACTTATTTGTCATGCAATCAACCTTTTGGGCTTGTTGTAGATGTGTTTGGAAGCAATTCGTAACATTTTAATAATATTTTGGCAAATTGAACCAAATGAACGAAATGACTCGAAAAAAGATTTATTCATCTTGATGAACAAGACTCAAAGATCCGAGTCAGTAAAATGATCTGAACTTCCCATCACTATAATAGAATGGTAATAATGCTGTTAATGCTAAACAAACTCAAATGTTTTATTCTCTTATCTGCTGAATAAAGTGATGTATTTTACCTATTTTTGGCTTTTTATCAACAATATGAATTATTCATATTACATATTCCATAAATACTAAACAGAATATATATACAGTTGAAGTCAGAATTATTAGTCCTCCTATGATTTTTTTCTTTTTATATATATATATATATATATATATATATATATATATATATATATATATATATATATATATATATATATATATATAATTTCCCAAATTATGTTTAACAGAGCAAGGAAATTTTCAGTTTGTCTGTTGATATTTATTTCTTCTGGGGAAAGTCTTATTTGTTTTATTTTGCTAGAATAAAAGCAGCTTTTAACATTTTAAACACCATTTAAGTACAAAATTATTAGCCCCTAATCATTCTATAAATTTTATAGTACAATTAAAAATGTGACATGAATCTTAACACCTATCTGGCTAAGGCTCTTTCACTTTAATGCTTGTTCTGAATATGGATATAATATTTTAAATATTTTATAATGCTATAAATTACATACTAGGCTATTGCATTTAAAAAGGGATTAAGCCGAATAGAAAAATGAATGAATTGCATTTAATAATTTTATAATGTTATTGTAATGTTATACAAAAAATTATAATAAAACTCTTGCGATATATCATGTTAATGCCAAAACTTTGTTTTTTTATACTCATCTGCCTCATGTAAGCTTTTATAGTACACATTTTCCTTCTCAACAACTAAAACTTCTTGTTTTGAATAATATTTTTTTTTTCTGGGTTTTCACCTTTATTGAATAGGACAGTAGAGATAATTGACAGGTTAGTGTGGGGAGCAGAAAAAGGGGAAGGATCGGCATATGACCTTGAGGCAGGAATCATGTGTCGATGCACTTTCCTCTACACCACTGGCACCGACTACAACTTAATCTTTAATAATAATAATAATAATAACAATAATAAAAATAAAATAGATAAGTATCAATATTTACAAATATACTTTACTTTCTTCTCCTATTATTATTATTATTTTTATTATTATTATTACTATTTATTTTGCAGTATCTTCATTTTAGGGCTGTTGTCCTTTAAGTTCAGTTAAATCCCTCATCAGCATCGCTTAATAAATATGAGAATGAACTGAACTGAGGGTCAGAGAATCTGTACGAGAAGGACACAGACCTGGGGCCTCATGAACGAAGACTTGCATTGAAATCATACTAAAACATTGAGTACACACTAAGTTGTAAATGTTCAAAATTCAGATGTATGAAACACTGCGTACATGGAATCCCATGCACATTCTCTTTGTATATCCGAATTAACTTGAAACTAAGCGCACGTGCAACGAGCGCAAAACCCCTCCCTGCCTCCTCCTCCTAATAAATATTGTAATGACTCTTCTTTGGTAAAACCAAATAAAAAAGCTATGGCAAAAGCAAGCATAAAGAGAAACTTTGAACAGAATGTGTACTGGAGGTGCTCCTATCGCAGGTAGACTGGAGAAAAACAGTGTTATTTGCAAGTTTGTTGTTGAAATAAGCTAGTTGAGTGATTTCCGCCTGTTTGATCGACAGAGATAACAAAGCTAAAGAGAGCGGACATTAGCAGCGCGAGTGGTTTAGCTCGCAAAGCACATGTCAACATGTTTTGACACTATCATGCATAAACCCGGTTTGAATCCAGCATCTGATGAACTCATTCTTCATTTTTCCAAGTTGCATATCAGATTTTGCCTACTCCTCATCACAAGGAAGACAAGTAGGTATCATTATTAAGTGTGTGTATTATGTTAAAAGCATTTGAGCATCACATATAATTTGCACATTTATTGAATGGAAATGTTTCTGATTCCTGTATGCAAATTCGTCTTAAGATGGCGCTTTTATAGCAATGTGCGTGCAGACGATCGGAGCATTACATTGGGAAAACCGGCGATCGCTGCAAGTTGCTCTTTAATGTTTGGCTGGTCAACTGTATGGCTTGGAAACCTTATATACCTGCTAAACATGCGAATTACCTCATTCCATTTGTAGTGTGAAATTTAACAAAATTGCCTCTAGGAGTCACCAATGAAAATAAAACAAACACACACAAAAATGCATGTACGCCAGGCATGAAGTTGGCGTGGACCAACACACATTTTCACGTTAATTTCATCGTTAGTAAATCCAAACGTGAGCGTCAAACCTGGCGTGTGCAAAGTTTTTGTGCATACGCAGCGTTGATACATGAGGCCCCAGAGCTCAAATCTAACAATTTTTCTGTTTTCAAAATAGCTTTCTTTTCACTTGAAAATTGTTAAACAAGTTTAAAATGCATGCAATTGCTGTTTGAAACAAAAAGCATGACCAGTTTCACTGGTTTAGGCAGTTTTCATCACTTTGTGATTTTGACCTGGAAAACTCAAATTACAGCATGAGAAGCGAGAATACAGCGCAAGAGCTGAAATCATCTCAGGTTACATATGTAACCATGGTTCCCTAAAGGGAACGAGATGCTGCGTCTCTTTAGGAGACACAGTGGGATACAATCCCTCTCTTATAACCTCCTGAAGCACAGGTGAAAGCAATCCAATTTAATTGGCGGGACCGTGTGTGATGTCAGACCGGGAGTTATAAAAGCACCACGGAAGCATACAACTTCAGCTTAGAACCTCTCGAACGAAGCGTACCAGGCTTGAAAAAGTATGGTAAAGCGACGCAGCGTCTCGTTCCCTTTAGGGAACCATGGTTACATACGTAACCTGAGACATTCCCCTGCAGGGAACTCTATGCTGCGTCTCTTTAGGAGACACAATGGGAACGCTATCCCAGACACACGATAGTTTGATATGTCAGGTATGAGTTCTTCTAATTCAAGAAAATATACTGGTTCTCGAAGTAGGATCCAGATCTAATTATTAAAACCTTTTGAAGTTGTGCAGGGTAGAGCAACCTGCTGTTTCCTCAGACACTGGCCAGCATAAACAAGGATTTTGAAGCCGCCATACCCCTGTTAGAATAGGCCCTTATTGCCTCTGATAGAGAACGTTTCAGGGCCTCATAAGTCAGTGAGAGACTCGACTATCCACTGGCTCAACGTCTGCTGAGACGCAGATGCCCCCATATTAGGTGGGTCATAAACAATGAACAATTGTTACATTGAACTCCATTCAGCCGTATGATGTATGCGTCTAACGCCCGCACTGGGCAAAGCAGATGAAGCGCTTCTGATCTGCGTCATAAATGGTGGAGGATTAAAGGTCTGCAGCACCATAGGTCGTACCACCTCATGGAGACCTTAAAGAAGTACCCTATTGTGGGGTACAGGAATGCTCTCACCATGCCAGGTGAGCATTTCAAACAAGAGGGAGCTCCTCTTGAGATAAAATGCCATTTCAGCATTAGAAACTTTTCTTACATCTCCTCAATGCAAAAATAGGGACTGTAGACAGGCCCTCGAGCACTATCAACAAATCCTGAATAGGAATTTTACTGGTGCAATTAGGCCTCAACCTCCTGGATCCATGGAGGAATCTGACCACCAGAATGTCTCTGCCGAGACCATCAGTACCATATATGAACATTACTGCTACACATACATAAAGCGTCATATTTAAAATATTCCTGGATAGTGGCTCACAGGCGGTGAAGCTGGACCCAGGTGGTGGTCGGTACACCACAAAGTGAAAAATTTTACCTGGTGGCATACAATGTTCTGAGTGCGGTTTGAACATGTTCAGTTGAAAAACCAAGATCTATGAAGTGGGTCCCCTCAGAGGCCACACCCATAGCTTGCCTGGGACAGAACTCTTCTGAACAAGAAACATTAGGTCTGAGAACCACACTCTTGTAAGCCTAGGGGCCACCGTTAGTAGGTTGA